CATTTTTGGAAAGAGATTCCTGGACCCCACCCCTAAACTGAGTCAGTGTCTTGGATTGAGGAGGGGGCTTGGGGGTCTGAGTTTTTCTTCTAATTTATAAAGAATACCAATCCCAATATCAATAGGAAAAGGCTCAAAGGACACTAAAAACACTTAATGATATGACAAGATGTTCAGTTATGCTCATAAACAGAGAATTGCAGCCCAACACTCCACTGAGACATCGTCTTTCACAGACCACATTGCCTAAAATCATTCACAAGTTTGATCACATATTCCATGGAGTGTTTTGGAGAAACAGAAATGTATTTATACATTGCTGGTGGGACTGCAAAAAGTTACAACCTGTATAGAGAGAAATCTGTTGATATGTACCAAAACTAAATACATTTCCATTTGATCTACAATCCTACTTCTAAGAATGTACTGCCAAGATGTACCCATATACACAGAATGACAAATGTATGAGATTATTCATTGTGAACTGTTTCTAACAAAATACTGAAAACAATCCAAGTGTTTATCAACAAGGGGACAAGTTAAATAAACAATGACAGACTCAATCTCACCATGGCTTAATAAAAAGTGTAAAAGATCTCTATAAACTCACAAGGAAAGATCTCCAGGAAATAATTTAATTGAAAAAAGCAAAGTGCAGAACAGCATATATAAATATACTATATTATGTATAAAAAGAAGGGGATATAGGTATTTATATTTATTTGTATTTGCACAGAGAAGTGCTAAATGAACAAACAAGAAATCATAAAAATACCTAAGGGAGCAGAGAGAAACAGGGAAAAGAGACCAGAAATGGGAATAGGATTTATTTGTGTGTACTTTTTTATGCACCTTTGGCTTTGGAGTAAAAAGAAATGTATCATTTTTAAAACAATAAGTAAAAACCAAAAGTACCTTGATAGAGTCATCACTACAAAAAAAAAAAAAAATCTACTCAGTTTTAAGGCGCCTCCATTAAATCGAACCACTTTTCAAAATTCTGATATTTACAATACCTTCTCTGATGACTGCACCGCATTCTTCAAACATTTGACTGACTAGACACTTTACACTCCTTGATTGTCAGAGGCTGATCTTGACACTGATACACTTGATGCTAGAAGCAGCTGAGGACAGTGAAATAGAATGACTAAACAAGGGAGGGGACAGCCCCTCTAGCCTCTAGGGCACAGAGTGATTGATAATCAGAGACTGAATAAACAGAGAAGAACTGCAGTGTCTGGAAATCTGATCACTCACTCAGCCTTGCCTCCCAGCACAGGGTGGCAGGGTCTAGAGAAGGCAGCTGCCAGACAGTGTCACCAGTGATAAAAGGAGGAGTTGGGGCAAAGGGCCAAGGTTTCAGGTGCTCCTGAGGGAAAGCAGTGCTTTTGCATTTTTATGGATCCTGATGGTTATGAAGCTTGTCCATAAAGAATAATTCTCTTGGGGGAAGGGAAGAGATTAACCACAGAACTTATATGCATGTACGCATAACCAATGGACACGGACAACAAAGCCGGGGACAAGGTGGAGGGATGTGGAGGAGGGTGTCAATGGGGGAAAAAAGGAGAAACATCTGTCACACACACACACACACACACACACACACACACACACACACAAAGAATAATTCTCTTCAATAGGATCAAAGACAGAGAGTATTTTATGCTGAAACATATTCTATCATAATCACTTATAATTTTTTTTTTAGAAATTCACCTATGAATTCCATACTCACAAATAAGGAATTAACACTTTCTCTCCTGCTTGCCACACTGTATCTCCATCAACTTTTCCACCTCCCTTTTTATGGATTATCTTCAAACTTTTCTATTTTGCTAAGAAACACACTTTCTGCATTTCCCCCTTGTTCTCCTTTCGTTCTGCAACAAAGTGTCTTTAGCTAGCAACTTCTTCCAAACAAATTTTGTCTAGAATCTATCCTCTTGACATATACACCAATATTCCTATCCTAGATCCACATTTTAAATACCACTATTAATTAAGAATGCATTTTATGTGTTAGGTCATTTTCAACCCTCCCATATAACACTCTGTGCTGGCAAAAACAGATGGGCTTATTCTGCACTGGAATTTGCTCAAGCCTGAGTAACTTTTCTTAAGCTAATGCCTGAAATCTTTAGGTACCTTTCCTGGTATCTGCAGGTCCATCCTCTCGAGTTCACATACATTTAACAAGATGGAGCAAGAGGGAGGACAGCTCACACTGTAATTGTACGTGGGCCTCTGCTTTTTAGGTCCAGTGGAAGTCTGAAAGAGTACAGAGTGCTTGATTTATTTTTAAGGAAAGTAAGGCCATCTGATGGCTTTCCAGCTGAAAATTGGTCAAGGCTGGAGTTTGGTTCATAGACCATGAAGCATGCCAATTCCTATTTTCCCATATCTGACTCCCAGTCTTGGCTGCAAATACTCCAGCCTTTCCTACAAGGGTAACCTGGGACATGAAAAAGGACAGAAAGGCCTTCCAGGAATTAGAGGAGGAACAAGATAAAAGGCACCCCAAACCAGGTCCAAGCTGCCATTCAGTGAGAGGCAAACACCCAAATCACAATACCTGATTCCTAATAGGGAAAAAAAAAAAAAACCTCAGTCCATTTACAGTTCATATTCAATCCAGATGTCTAGAAAACAGCAGGATTAATGTTAAAGTTTTGCCAAGGCAGCACCAGATGCTTATAACAGAACCATATAGACATTGACGTAGGAGACATAATGATTTTTCCAAACATCCCTCAAATAAGGAATGAGAATTCTTTGTGTGAGAGTCGGTGGTTAACACATTTGACACCAGGAACACCTGGTGAAGGAGAATTTTCATCACCAGCCAGAACCCGTTTCTGCACTGGGTTGAATACCTACTTCCTCTCTAGACATCTGGATCATAATTGAGCTCACTGGCTCATGCTACTATTTGAAAATCCAGGAAGCCAATGGTTGAATTCCAGTTAACCACTAAACATGTGGCTTTGGAGTATTTTCACCAGGAGTAGTAATGCAGCCGGACCTTGAAGAGCAGTTGTGAGGGTTCACTGTCAACATTCTGCAATGAGCAGAAACCAATTATAGGTACTTTTCAATCATAGATCCTCTCATCTCTGTGACAGCTCACTGATCTCTAGATGCCTGCCAGAGCAAACGGTGATGATGGTGAACACAGTAATAGTGCTCATTACTTGAGGGATATTTACATACACTTTCTAATTAAATCCTCACCCTAGTCTGGAAATATATAGAACTGTGTTCTAAACTGTGACTTAGGAAGTAGCTTAGTCAAGGTCACACAACAAAGACATGACTAAGTTTTTGAAGCGGTTTGTTTGCACAATTTTGTTTGCGTCTTCTGTTTGTATGACTATTGTTTCAGTTACAGTAAGGACATTTTGTTAAAACACACGCAGCACACACCCCCTGCCAAAAACACACACAGCAGCACATCCACAGATAAATCACTGATCCACAGTAATTTATGGCGGAACATTGGAAAGGATGCTATTTATTTTCCTATGTCAGGGGAAAGTGGGCTAATAAAAGAGAACGTAGAACTGAAACTTCATGCCTGAGTAAATTCTAGAAACCTGCTGTACAACACAGATCTAAGGTTAGCAATACTATACTATGTACTTAAAAATTAGTTAAGAGGGTGGATCTCATATTGTGTTTTGACCACAATAAAAAATAGGACTTAGAAAGCTAGGCCATATTAAAAATCGAATTGACATTATCATGATATAATTACAACTGATATGTGTTCAATTATACCAAGATCACATGACAGAAAAATCTAGGAGACAATGTGTTATATGTATTGAAGTTAAATGTTAACTTAATGGGCCCGGCAGGTGTAGCTCAGTGGTTGAGTGTCGACCCACACACCAAGAAGTCACTGGTTCAATTCCCATTCAGGGTACATGCCCAGGTTATGGGCCAAATCCCCACTGGAGGACATGCAGGAGGTGGTCAGTTGATGTTCTCTCTCATTGACGTTTCTCTCTCTCTCTCCCTCTCCCTTTCTCTCTCTCTAAAATCAATAAAGAAAAATAAATAAATACATAAATAAATAAATGTTAACTAATGGATAAAATATGTTTTATATTCTTTCAGATGTAATGTACTTTATGAAAAATATGCAGATATGCAAATGGTAGAATAGGAAGGATTTTCATTATAGTTAGAGGAGAATAAAAATGTAGCGAATGCATGTAATAGTTTTAAAAAAATAAAGCCCTAGAGATGTAATAATTAGAAAAGAAATGGGTGGGGCAGATTTGGGGCTTCAGACTAAGAGGTTTATTACTCACAGTAAGTCTTGCAACGTTCCCAGGAGAACTGCAATAAGTTAGATCTCAGCAGCCCAACACTGAGCTGTATGCTCAAGAGTCCCACACGCATCATTAATATGAAAAATTGTGAAAATGCTACATTCAGCCAAATTCTTCTGCTCTCCAAAAGGACTTGGTCATAGTTCAGTCCATATTTCAGTGACTTCTCATTTATCTTAGCAGCTTCTGTCAGCCCTGGTTAATTCCCTCCCCAGCCTTGTCAGACTCAAGTACTTTAAGTGTCTGGCAGGTCCCCATCTGTGAGTGAGTCGCCTGTAGCATAAAGGCTGCAGAATGATCAGATGATGATGCTCACAGGCAAGAAGACTCAGAATCCAAAAGAAAGGGTCTGAATGCCTTTCTCATCCCCCCTCTACCAATCCCCACTGTTGTACTTCTCTCTTTTTTCTCCACCTTTACTGACTTTCAAACCAGAGTGCTTGCATATTCTTCATTTTAAAGTGCCTAAAACGTAAACCAGAACCATCTGGAATGGTTATGCAAATATAATGTTAGGTAAACTGACCTTTGTTGCCACAAGGAAAGAGTGCTCTGCATATCTGGTTTCCTTGTGATTCCCCACCAACCTCTCCCATAAAATTTGTCCCACCATAGCTATGAGAACAACCATAACATAATTAAAATGGTTAAGAGAACCTAGCTGGAAGTGGTCGATTTTCATGGTGCTGTTGTTGACAGGGCCGAAGATGGTGATCACAGAGATTTTCCTGGTGGCCATCTTGCAGAAGCTTTCCAGATATTCATCTCGCTGTTGCACATACATGTCGTTCTCAACCTTAGGAGCGGTGATCAGCTGGAGATGGGCAGAGGCAAGCACATATTAATTTATTATGATCGTTTTACACTGAGGCAAAATCCAAAAGGATGATTTGGAATAGAGGGCTGGTAGTGCCTGGCACCAAAACTTATTTAAACTAAATTAAGCTAAACTAAGCTAAACTAGAGTAGACTAGGTGGTTTTGTTGGACAGTTAGCATAATTAGGGCCAAGAGACTATTTGTAAAGGGCTTTTTGTCTGCTTGTTTGTTTTGTTTTTTATATATTTATTTTTAATTCTCACCTGAGGACATTTTTGCATTTATCTTCAGATAGAGTGGGAGGGAGTGAGGGAGGAAGAGAGAGAGAGAAACATCGATGTGAAAGAGACACATCGAGTGGTTTCTATCCACACGACAAACTGCAACAGAGGTACATGCTCTTAGCGGGAACTGAACCTGGGACTCTCCAGTCCAGGGGCCAACACTCTAACCGCTGAGACAAACCAGCCAGGGCAGGGCTTTTGTTTTTAAATGGCTCCAGACAGCCTAGCGTTTTCTGATTATTTCCACTATTTACACTCCTTACTCATCTCCATGTGTCTTGGTTTCCTCACTTGTGAACTCTGCACAGTAGTACTTATTGTGCAAGGCTGTTGTGGGCACTGCATAAATTCTTGGCGTGTAAAAATTGTTCAGTAAATGCTATCTCCCTCCCCTCATTTTAATCTTCAGTATCCTAATGGGCTGCTCTGACCTTTGAGAATTGTGTGGTTACTACTATTGTTTCATGCATCACAGGGTTGACAGAGTTTCATAGCCAGGCCTTGGGCACTCTGGAACATTTGATGGCTGATGTCTGCAATGAACACAGTCTGTTCACCCTTTGCTTACTCATCACTGAGCTCAGAGGTCAGCCTCTGTACATGTTCTCCCATCCACTACATTCAAATTTATCAGCCACTTCTCTACTTAGCCATCCAACCTTATAAATAATTCTGAAGTCTGTCGCTTGACATTTCTCAGAGGGGAAGTCACCACGTTCGTCTTTCAAATTATTTCTCAAAATGGTAACTGTCTGTCCTAACTCTATCCTGCTGTTTATTTTTCTCTGTCAGAAATGTGTTTATTGCTTCCTGCAGGCTTTCCCTTCTAAGAATTCTCTATGCTTGACAAAATACTATCCCTCGCGGAAATCAAGATGTGTTCGCTAGCTTTTGAGTGGAACATGAACAGAGGTTTTCTGGGATAAATTTATACTTTTTTTTTTCAGATTGTTATTTATTTTAAGTAGCCATGGTTTTATTCATTTTTTATTTTGTGTTTATATGTCTGTTCAGATGGACACAATAGGTAGAAAAATGATTGTTTTAGAAATGCAATTTCCTAAAAGGAAAAATAATTAAATTTCCTCAAATGTATTCATTGATTCCTACTTAGCCTTAAAAGTGACTTAAGGTGGCTATAAAAAGAGATAGTAATGGTATTTTTGGTTTGTTAGTTTTTAATTAGCTATATTTCCTTAAGTATTTATGGTAGCCCAAATCTTGGAGTTTTATTTTCACTTGGTATGTTTTATGTTTTTCTTTCTGGCTATTCTTTGCTCACAAACACACTACTTTGAAATAAATAACATGAATAAATGTTTAAGTGAGAACACAAAATAGTCAAAAACAAAGGTAAGATTTACCGGTCGTGGTTTTGAACTACCTACTCTAAATGAAGGATAAGCCCATATTTAGAATCTATTTAGAGGAGTCTCTAGGGCACAGCTGCCCAGAAGCTAAATGACTGATAATTACCTGCCCCTGTAACTTCAGATCCATACATAGACTCCATTTTATTCATCTCACACTTTGCCATGGACCGTTAGTCCATTGACAGGCCATGATATGACCAGATTTTAAGAGTTCACAAAACTCCCTCTGGCCTTCTCCCCATTGTACATAATTGAGAATTTCAGACAATATATAATCATATAGAACCTCATCCTCCTTTCTGGAAGTCTCTCTCAGGGATCTCTGAACATAGTAGTCTTAGGCCAGGGGATACCCAATGGGAATCACACTGTAATAAATCAGGAGCTCTAATGTTTATTTTCACCTCAGGTCTTTTGCCCAAGGGTGCCTTAACCCACCCTGAGGTGACATTCATTTTTGCATGACTCATTACCCGGCTTCTTGCACTCAGTGATCTGGCCCCAGGCTCTCTTTTGCTAACCTTTCCTCCTATTCTCCCTTAGGTGCCCTCTTCACTCCATAGCCAGACCATTCTGAATTATGACATGAAAGAAAACTTGGCAGAGTGGCACAGAGAAAGGGTGACTATAGTCAAAGTTGGAGGGCCTGCATTTTAATCCTTATTCAACCCCTGGCTTCAATGTAGCCTTAACAGGGTCATTTATCTTTATTAACCTTAGTGTTCTCATCTTTACAATGGAACAACATCCTTGCCAACCTCATAAAGTAGTGAGAACTGAGCAAAAATAAATGAAAAGACATGTGCAAGGCTGTGTGTACCCCAGTACCATACATGCATATCGCCTCTGAATGGTTTGCCCACACTCCTTCCTCTGCCTCGGCCTGTATTACCCCTCCCACTCAGAGAGCCCTCCCATGGCCTCCAACGTATCTGATTCTGGATCATTCTTTAAATGCAGCCTCCTCCCTAAAGTCTTTTCTATCTCTCAATGATCACTTCTTCTTTTTAGTTACTGTTCTTATAGTCTGCCCTATTCCCTTGGGATTTACATATTTCCTTGATTTACCATTATATTTTATCTTTATGTCACATCTCCCCAACTAGAGAGTAAGTTCCTCAAGGCCCTAAAGCACCAGCCTCTACCACTGCCATACCCACGGTGGGAAAACAAAACCTGGCCCACATTCCTCAGGTTACATGCTTCACTCCAGCCAGGAGAGGGGAGCCCCTCAGAAACACAATGCCTATGAATGTCTAGCTGTGGTCTACACACCAGCTGGTTTAATCTGTTCCTCAAGTTCACATCAGGGAAAGTAGAGGAGGCTGATCATCTGAATACATTTCAAGGATTCTTTCCCCGTGTATTGATATCTCCATCCCATTAACTTTCTAGTCTGATGGTGTTTCAAACAGTATTTAAAATGGTAACCATTTCTAATCCCCTCTTCCTGAAGAGAGCATCCTAGGACTTCTCAGTAAACATTATTGTCTGGTACTTGGCCTCTTTCCAGTTTGGTGGCATGTCTCATGAATTTAGAATTGTGTTGTGGTTCTCTTTTATGTCTCTGTTCCAACAGTGTGTTGGCACATGGGGCCTCAGAGTATAATGAAGCCAGTTTGCATTAATAAAGGGAGCAAACAGCAATGGAAAATGCTAGGGGAAATTATTAGAAGTGTCAGTTTATTCTACATACTGTGCTAGGCTAAAAACACTAGATTTTTTTTTACAGGATTCTGAAAAATAACATTTAAGCTAGTAGTCTGCCTTAGTAAATCAGAGCTTTATATGCCTTTCTAAAATTAAATCAAATAAGTAGATTGTTGTCCCAATATACAGATTTCTGAAGTAAGGTTGAAAGTATTAACCCACTTGAGTTACAATAGATGCAATCTCCTAAGAATGCTTGAACTTGAACTTGAATCTTTGCAATTCAGCACTATGAGAACTCTTGTTAATTGACAAGTAGCTAGATTCTCAGGGCACACAATGATGGCTTGTCAGCTATACTCCACACAGTCCTGTGTTTAAGTGATAAATAGTTTATCTATATTCTCACCCCCAAACTGACACCAGCCAGTCTGAGGGATTAGGTTAATTGGGATTCAATCTATTTTCTTGACTGACTGCTGGGAGAGCCAGAGAGTTGAGGTGCTGAAGATGAGCAGAAACTCTGCATCGGTGCTTAGCACCAAATGTTGACAATTGATATGTCTGACCATTTATCTCAGTAATTCAAGGGGTAAAGTGAATTTTTAAATGTCTGTGTTGATTAATTAACAGAAAAGTTTCCCCTTCATTTTATGGCATACACCCCATATTCACACTCACAGGAAGGCAGAATGGGGGAGTGGCTTGAGCATGAGCTTTAAAGTCAAACATACCAACCCTGGTTGGTTTGGCTCAGCAGTTAGAGTGTCAGCCTGCAGTCCAGAGAGACCCGGATTAGGTTCTTGCTAAGGGCATCTACCTTGGTTGTAGTTTGTCTCCGGCCCCAGTTGGGATCATGTGGGTGGCAGCCAGTCGATGTGTCTCTCTCACATCGATGTTTCTCTCTCTCTCTTTCTCCCTCCCTCCCTCTTGCTCTATCTGAAGATAAATGCAAAAATTGTCCTTGGGTGAGGATAAAATAATAATAATAATAATAATAGTAATAATAATAATAAAATAAAATAAAACATACCTGAGTTCTAATTCTGGCTTTGCCATATATGAACCATTCACCTTGGGAAACTTCTCAACCTCTCTAAGCTCCTGTTTCCTTGTCCTTCCTCATGGGATTGTCGTGAAAATTAATGCAACAGTCTCAAAAAGCCCCTGGTAGGATGTGCTCTTTTTCTTTGACAGACTGAGAGGCAGGGGGTTTGAAGGACTGACCTCAGGCCTAAGAAAAGGACACTTGGCTCCTCCTGAAGCTCCTTTGAAGGCTTCTAGGATGCTGTTCACTATACCATTGCTGCCAGTGTTTCTCTAAGTAATTGGTTAAGTGGAGGATATGTGATGTTTTCACATCTAAAGAATTAATAAGTGCAAAGCATCAGAGGTTTATGATAAATTGTAACAGGGCCCCAGGTCACTGAAACCCAGGAAAGATAAGCTCAAAGGCTTGCACGGCCCCCTGGAATGCGAACCTCAGAACCTCGTTTAAGCTTGAGCATACTGGGTTAGGCTGAGGCCAGCTGGAGGTATATGTTGTCAGCCGTACTTGAACAGCTTGGAGAGTGCTAAGCCTTAATGAATATTAATTGAATCACCCAGCTTCCTGAATAACATCAGCCATGTTTGACCGGGAAAATGAGTGGAAAAACGATAAATGGCACCAACTAGGTCTTTCGCCCAGAAATACAAGTCTCCTCTCTGTCTGGTCAAACAGTCTTTTCTCTTCATCTTTTGATATTGTATCATGCTTATTTTATCTTTCTTATTTTAGATGTCATGAGCTCTTTAGAAAACACATTTTGAGATGCTCATCAGCTGGGCACATGTGGGATTGCAAGACTGAAATGCCTCTTGTTGGGACTTGCTTTGTAATAACAAACCTGGTTCTCTCACCAGTCACCAAGAGCAATCCCAGCTGGTTTCTGTTTTGCCTCACATGACATCAGCAGAAGCTGTCATTTGAGTTTCATTTGCTAGAAATTTATGATCAGGGATACTGTTAAAAGCAGAAAAGACCCAGCTGGGTTTTCAAATCCCTGACTAAGGGAGTGGAGAGAAAGGGAGAGAAATAAAAGGGTGACTAATATCAAGGGTATGTATGAAAACCCCTTTCTTCTGACTCACAGACTAGCAGTAATGGAAGTATTTACCCGCAGGTGCACAATTACAATCCTGACAGTTTACCTATGATTATTTTCCCCTAGTTAAAACCTGACCATGAGGAACACTTTGGCTGCCCTATTGGCTAAATGGTCAGGGTTGGGTGATGTGCTTTAGCAGGCTGGACAAAGTCCCAGGAACTCAGGAGGAGGGCAGCAGAGCACACCACTGATGCCTTTTCACAGCCCAATGAGCGCAAACTCCCCCCCCCGCCCCCCGCCAACAGATTCCTTAGCAAACATTCAAGTACCAGGTGGAGTTCTACTCTGCAACCAGTGATTCTTGGGTTCTCACAGGAACATTCCCATTTAAATGTATGTAACTCTGGGAATAACCAAGTAGCTGTTAAACTGCTCTGACAACCTATCCTCTACTAACCTAAGTTTGTATAGTGACTTTAAGGCTCTGGTTAAAATGAGTAACAACATACAAAAAAATCACACACACACACAACCTGTAGAATCGATCAAAACTTAGGTTTTGTCCTAATACATAAATACACTATTGATGGGACACCTAAAAGAATGTGGGGCCCTAGCCGGTTTGGCTCAGCAGTTAGAGCGTCGGCCTGCGGTCCTGAGAGACCCGGGTTCAGTTCCCACTAAGGGCACATGCCTCAGTTGCAGTTTTTCCCCGGCCCTGGTTGGGTTGTGCAGGTGGCAACTACTCGATGTTTCCCTTTCACGTTGATGTTTCTCTCTCTCTCTCTCCTTCCCACTCTATCTGAACAAAATATCAAAAAAATGTCCTTTGGTGAAGATAAAAAAAAAAAAAAAAGAATGTGGGGACATTCCCCACCCATGATAAATATCACAAGGGACTGCACTGAATAATATTTCAAATGCACATTTAAATTTTTAAAAACCACTAAAGAGAGATGGATACCAGAGTCTCTCTGGCTCAGATCATGAATCCAAATTTAAGGCAGACTGGAAAAAATCTAAAAGACTTTCTGAGAAATACTTTGTGAGAAGAGAGTCTATCTCCTTTGGTGAAGAAAATGCAGGGCACAGAGTCACCTTGTAGGGTAGGTGATGTCCTCAGTGGCATGAGATGCCCCCCACCCAGGTAGCTGAGAGAATCATTACTGATTCATATTACCCAACATTAATTACTGATCTTTTTCTCTGAAGTAATTGTATCATACTCTTTTCCTCTTTGACTGCCTGGAGTAAAATGCCAGCATTAAGAAGCTAGGGGTAAAATCTTGGAAGGACACTAAAAGAGTGAGTAAGGAGACTTGGAGAGAAGAAACTATTCTCACATTGCTGATGAGAACTGCCCTTACATTTAGGATGGGGCTTATTCCCGGGATATGACTAGATAACGTTATTAGTCTTTGGGTGGGAGCAAGTAATTTCCAAAGAGATAGCTACTGAGATATACCTATGACTCACTCAATTCTAGTAGCACTCAGGAACAGAGGCAAAATAGAAGTAAGGACTCCTTGTCTCCTTTTTCACACACACACACACACACACACTCATGCTCATTTCATAGTCTCAGGGAAACTGCCATCTAGACTCCAAGTTCAGAAGTGTCCCTAGGGTATTGGAAATTACAACAATCCAGTTCCCACACTCAATCCTTTTGGCATATTACTGGTTGGAAGAGGCAGCCTTTAAGGGGTGAAGATTTCAGACAGCTGGTTTAAAAGCATTCATGAAGGTCACACCAGGAAGGACCCCACCCCACTCCCAGTCATACCTACTCTCTACCCAGGCTGCCTTAGTTTCCCCTTTGAATTTTCCAATTGTTGATATAGACCTAACAAGCAGGGAGAGAGGAAACCTTGTTATTTCTTCATATATATGTGTCAGGTTTCTAAACTCATGAAGCGAGAAACCCTTTTCCTAAGTTGTGACCAGAGTCCATGCATACTATTATAGGAACTTCTTCATTCTTTCTTATTCTTTGAACTCAGTAAAATGGAGCTGTATTCAGAACTATCCCTTGGAAGAGAGGAGTAGGGATGTGGGGTGGGTACTAATGGGTTTGGAAGAAGCTGACAACAGGTGCTTCCCTGGGTTCATGTCTCAGGTCGCCTGACCAATGACTCCGAGTCTGTGAAAAGGATTCAGAGAACATAGAAAACAAACGGAGCTGCTGGCCTGGCTACCCTTGCTTGATATACCTCCTGACCTTCTTGACATGGTGCGGGTTCAGCCACAGTCTGCCATCCAGCAATGTGGTTTTAGAAAAACAAACGGAACACGAACACGCCCTGCCTCGGCCCACAGAACAATGCCAAGGAGAAGATTACTTACAAGGAGCCTTCGTTTGCCTTCAAAGGAGCCCAGCAGGTCAGCCACCAGCTTCTTGGGACTCTGAGTGAAGTACTTTGTGGTGGGTTTCAGGTAGCCATCCTGCTCTGTTTTACCTGCTTTTTTCTTCTTGCTCTTGTCTTTCTCCGGCCTGTTCTTTTTCTCAGCCTTGTCCTTCTTCACTTGCTTTTCACTTTTGAGTAGCTTGTCTGCTTTTTCATTCTTCACCTTTTTTTTCTTCTCCTTCTCAGGTTTCTCAAGCTTTTCATGCTTTTTAGGCTCCTTTGCTTTTTGCGGGGGAATATTCCCCACCTGCAGCTCCTCCTCCAGCTGAGAGGCAGTGGGCCGGCTGGGATCATACTTATCCTCATACTCATTGCTAAGAATTTTGTCTTGGGCTTTCTTTTTGGGAGGTTTCCCCTTTGCTGGCTTGTGAGGACCTGGCACCACATTGGGGTCCCGGTGGCCATGCTCCCGCCTGTCTGTGCGGTTGTCCCGGAAACGGCCGGCTGCCCTGGTGCTGTGCTCCCAGGTGGGCGTGGGAGGGGGCGCGGTGGAGCTGTCGACGCTGGTGGCCTTGCTGGGCCTCCGGGTGGTCTGTGGCCTCTCCCTGTGCTGCTCCTTCCTGGGTGGAGGGTAGAGATTCTCTGAGGCTACGGCACTCCTGACAGTGGTCACCTCCGCTGTTGCTGGGGGCCTGTGGGCCTCTGAGAAGGGGTGCACCCGGGCGGTCCAGGGCCTCTGTGTGGTCGGAAAGGCCATGGTGGTTGTAGGTCTGGCAGCTACAGTTACCACCCGCGAGGTGGCCCGAGTCACTGTTGTGACTGAAGCAGGAGGCAGGGTGGTGACCCTCAGGGTGGGAGCAGGAGGCGGAGGTGCTGCTGTCGTGGTGGCCGGTTTTCGCAGCACCTTCACCCGACTCTCCCTGGTGGGTGGGACTTGTGCTCTCCTCGGGTCCTCTTTCCTCTTCTCGCTGCTCGGGCCTGGCCTTCCCGCGCCCCCGCCGTCGTTCCCTTCCTCCACCACCTGGCCCTCCACCCCGGAGGCCTTACACTTTTGGACAAAGCCCTTCTGCCTGATCTTCTCTATCCTGCGGATGGGGCCCTGGTCGATGATCTCGTACATGGCCTCGAGCCTGACCGGGTAAGGGTAGCGCTCCTCCACCTGCAGCGTCTTCTTCAGCAGCACCATGCCGAACTTCCCCCTCTCCAGCTTCAGGAAGCTCATCAGCTTCGGGATGAGGCTGGGGTCCAGGGCCTGCTCCAGCACCCGGCCCTCACTGGTGATCCTCCGCACCTTGCCGCCTTCCTCGCCGGCCTGGTGGAACAGCACTATCTGCTGGATGTGCCTTTCCGCCAGCTCGCAGTACACGTCGTCCTTCAGGAGGCTCATCATCAGGCGGTAGTAGCCTTCCGAGGCGTGAGGGGCCGAGATGACCCACACGCGATTCTTCCCTGCAAAGCTGGCGAGGATGTTGGGAGAGCTGGACCCAGAGGGGAAGCGCAACATTCTTGACCGAGCTGAGGACCCCTCATCTCGGACCATCTCACGGGGAGAACTCCGGACTGTCGGTCTCCGTTCAGGTCTCACCGGGGCCCCGTTGATGTCCAGCGTGGCTGGAGGGGCCTTTTCATGAGCCATTCTTAACACCGGCCCGCTGCTCCTTCTTTGGAGAGGCTGATGATTTCGTCCTCCCAGAGCGGTTCTCTCAATTCCCTGAGACCTCCCCGTGTGCCTCAGCAACCGAGCTGGCCTTCTGTTGACTGGGGAGGCCAGAGGCGCTTTCTGTCCTCCATTGGCCCCTCGATTCATGGCCTGGGAGTGGGGTTCGGATCCACACACCAGCCACATTGTCAACAGCATGGTAAAACTGGGTCCCATCCTCCATGTCATTGTGCAATCCACTTTGGGAGGCAGCAAGGTCAAAACACAAACGGGGAGGGGAAGGGGAGAAAGAAAGAAAATTATTTAATTGCAAACAGAGCTGGGCATTTTCCCTTTCTCTACTTTGGCCAAAGGCTGGGGGAAGGGATGGTTAGAGAAGAACAAGGAGGGAGGTCAGGGAATGGAAAACAGGATGAGATCCTGTTACTTTTAAGCCCCTATAAGTTGTCAGCGCTTAGCAGAGACAGTTACATTAAGCAAGAAACCCAACTCAGTGCCCCATTCAGCATACTGCGCCCTTCGTCTGATTCTGTGATGTCCAGAGAAAATGCACATTGAGCGTATTAATTATGACAACATTCCCATTTCATTTCTTCAAACAAGCAACAAAGAAACAAACACACCAAAAACAGAAAGGATTGATTACACACTTACATTGTGGCTCATAGAGATGGAATGCAGAGGATCCAAAAAGCAATCTGAAGTGTGGTCCCAGGACAGTTTCCTAGATGAAATGCTTTTCCTCCCAACCCTCTGCCTCCTTTACAAGGCTGGGGTGAGCTGCAGCTCCAGCTCCCAAAGTCGCCTGTCCTGACCTGATGGCTCAGCTGCTTTCTTCTTTTCTTTCTGGCTTTTTACCTTCTTGACAAGCAGGATGAGGTGACAGGAGCTGTCCTTTTAAGTCTTTGCATCTCCATTTTTCTGTCGTTTCTGCTCAGCCTTGTATCTGTGTGTGCCAATCCCTGTGCCGACAGGACGCCCCTTGAAGTGGAGCCCCAGGTATTTCCGATTCTCACTCTTCTCTCTTTAGAGTCCCAGGATCCTTCTTATCACCCTTTTCCCCACAGCCTGGCTTGGTCCCTTTGTTTCCGAGCGTAAAAGCACTGGGATTAATATGTTTTCCAGGCTGAGGGAAAACACAGGAATGTGATGTTGAAAATAGGCTTTTTCTCTTTTCCTGCGCTTCTCTCCTCCCTTTATTTCTTGCCACCTTTTTTCCCCTCCTCTTTTCCTTCTCCTTCTGTTTCTTCTTCCTCTTGCCTGGTTTCAGTCCCAGGAATGCCAGGACAACCTCAGTTTTGATCCAAACCAAACTCAAACAACAGCAGCCACTGGAAATCAAGGAAACTTCACTAAGAATTTAACAGATCAGCAAAACACCGCCTCCTTCCCATTTCAGCACGTTGAGAGTGGACTCGGTGGGGAGGGAGAGGGCTGTTCTTTGGGTGGGGGAAAGTTTTGAAACACTACCCATCATCATAAATCACTTTAGAATAGGATGGCTGAGGACTTAACCCCTTCTATACTGAGTAATCAGGATATTCTCCCTCCCTGTCTGTACTCACACTGCACTCTGGAGCGGGAAAATTCTCAGATTTCTGCATCTGGCCGCTTGGTTTTCCTAGAGATAGATAATCACTGGGTCAGGGTGCTTGGCAGTACACACAGAGACAATATATATATTTAGATTTCCATGTATATATTTTTATCTTTCTCCCTACTTCATGCATTTAGTTTGAGGCTGGAAAAGCCCGTGGAAAACATGACTGGGTTGTTTTTATTTTATGCTAATTGGAGATCATATTACTGTATTCTTGTTCCTAGTTTTCTCCTTGGCATGGAAGGAAGCTGGTAAAAGGTTAGAAATGCAGGCAATCGCTGTTGTTCCCCTGAGACAGGTCAGCCATTACATCAGGGGAGGGGCATTATGATCTCCAGTTCTGGGTTCTGGCTAAGACCTTCCTTAAAGGCGTGTGTGTGTGTGTGTGTGTGTGTGTGTGGTGCAGTGCAGTGTTTTGCTCTCCAAAAGCTTCAGGTATCTGGAGGACTTTAGGCAATCCTTAGAAATAGCATATCAGGTTCCAAACAAGAGACTGAAGCAGCTCTCTGTGTCCACCTCCTGGGTCTGTCATGAGCAGTCAGATTTTAGGTGAGTGGAAAGGTGCCTCAGGTTATACAAATATTTTGTCCAACTTTTCCAAGAGAATTCAGGTGGTATGAATTGCCACACACTGTGGCGAGCCAGGGTTCTCAGAAAGCCCTTTGCAAACTACGCCATGCTAATCGCAACTCTCACTGAACAAAACTTGGCCCTCAGTTGCTACCCTTTCATCAGCCCATCTCCAGTGGGTCACAAGCCTTTCCTTCACATAAGCTCCCAGCATGTAATTAAAGACCCACTGGGTGTTGAGTAAGGCTGTCAGCCCATAGCTTGAGGACCAAGGGGAGCCAAGAGGGAAGGCCCTCCTGTGGAGCCCTCACAGACTCTTGTGACTATTATAACAAAGGTGGGCTTCAGACAGAGACCCCCTGTCCACCAGAGCTAGAGAAGAGTTTTCCTTTCATGGTCTACACCTCTTAAGTTGATCAAATACCTGTGCCAAGTTAGACAGTCTAGATGGTGTTTCCTTTCTCAAAGCATAATGTGTTCTATACCATTCCTTTGGAGGTCTTTCCTCTTCTTTCTTTTCTTTTCTTTTCTTTTCTTTTCTTTTCTTTTCTTTTCTTTTGGCTTCTCTCTACTAATAACAACTACCATTTATTGAGCTTTTTAAAAAAATTCTCACCCGAGGATATCTTTTTTTCCCCATTGATTTCAGAGAAAGTGGAAGGAAGGGAGAAGGTAGAGAGAGTGGGAGAAACATTGATGTGAGAGAGAAACATTGATTGGTCACCCCTTACACACACCCCAACCAGGGCTGGGGATCAAACCCAAAAACCAGACAAGTGCCCTGACCAGGAATCAAACCTGTGACGCTCTGGTGTAGAGAATGACATTCTGACCCATCCACACTGACCAGGCCACTTATTGAGCATTTTTATGTGGGGTTCTGGGCTTGGCACTTTCATATATTTTTTATCTGACCCTCATAGCATCCCTAAGAGATAGGTTGAATTATTCCCATTGGACACACTGAGGCATAGAGGATTTAAATCAGTGGCAGCACAGAAATTGGACCCAGGTCTAGAACTATCTACAAAGCACTCATTTCCCTCTCTCCCCCTTTTATTTTCTTCCCATACTTTCTCTTTTTTCTCTTCCTTTAATACCTTTCTGTGTTTCCCATAGAAGAGTCTCATTTATTTGTTCAACCAGAGCACTTTTACTTTTAGAATTCTACTTTCTGGAGTAATTGTATAATAGTACTTTTTACCTTTCTTAATAGGTCCTTAAAATCTTTTATTCTTTTTCTTAAATATCACATGGTTTCCACCAACCTCCTAATATTGTGCATAACATTTGTCACCTGTGCATTTGTAAAGTTCAAATACAGCCACTCAGTGAGCAGGATTTGACTCAGAGGAGAAGCCAGCCTAACCCTGAGCTGTATCTGTCTTCTTGGGGCCTCAAGTTTTCTTTCCTTCTATGAGCTTCAACCACCAGATGGCGTGCTCAACTCATATGTGGGAGAGGACCTAATACTGCTGGCCACCTTGGTGTCTCCCTAAAGCGTCCCCACCCCCTACATAGACCCACTGGCAAAGTGGGGCTTCTCAGTGCCTACTCAGGATTCTTCAATCTCAATGCCTAAAGCCCCCTAGGGAAGTCAGGGAGCACATGCCTGATAAGAGAAATTAGCAAATTAGCATCTACTCTTTTCTGGAAAAGCCTATGATGATATGTGGTTTGTAATGATTCTCAATTTCTATTCCATGATTTAAGAGCCATATATTAAAAAGTCCCTCACTTAGCTCTTTCCATCTTTTTTTCTAACCCAAGAAAGAAACATTAACTAAATAGAAGAGAACAAGAGAGAAGAACAAGAGAAAGAGGAGAGCAAGAGAGAGGGATTTATGCTAAGTAAAATAAATGTAAAAGAAATAAAATTCAGATGTGAGTTGGGCAGCTGATCTGGCACCTCAGTGAAGATTTATGGAGTGACCCTGAAGGGGAAGGCCTGACTTTCTCCTTCTTACAGAGTGACCCATGGTAATTACTAATGTCCCATAGACTCATTTCTCTCATCCATAAAATGGGAATAATGACACCTCCCACATAGCCTTAAAGAAAGGATCAGGAGGTTGGAAAAAATGGCGGCGAAGTGAATGGAGGGACCCAGACCGTCTCCCAAGACCAAACTGGATTTACAACGAAAACAAAGGCAAACCGTCAGGAAAGGGCAGCTGAAGGACACCTTGGAGGACCACTTAACCAGAAACACCCACTCAGTCCTGGTAGGTTTGCGAGGACGGGAGTGGGGACCGAGAGCCCAGGGTCCGCAGCGGCCTGGGCAGGGGCCAGGGAACTAGAGGGGAAGTTAACTCTACCATCTTTCTTCCCACCGCACGGCCTGGAGACCCTGTAGCCGGCTAGGCTAGGCTCTCTGCTGAAGCCGCACAGACTCGCAGACCCCAGGCAAATCGGTGGGACCGGGGAACGCGGTGGAGAGCTAACGCTACCGCCTCCCTCCCTGCCGTGCACGGCCTTGGAAACTCTGCAGCCGGCTAGGCTAGGCTCTCCACTGGAGCCGCACAGACTCCTGGCCCCCAAGGAACTGGGCGGGACCAGGGAACTCGGAGGGACCTGGGAACTAGGCGGAAAATTAATTCTACTGCCTCCCCTCCTGCCGTGCAAGGCCCTGTAGCCGCTGAAGCCGCACAGACTCCTGGCCCCCAGGCAACTCGGTGGGACCGGGGAACGCGGCGGAAAATTAAGTCTACCGCCTCTCTCCCCGCCATGCACGGCCTGGAAACCCTGTAGCCGGCTAGGCTAGGCTCTCCGCTGGAGCCGCACAGACTCGCAGCCGGCTAGGCTAGGCTCTCTGCTGGAGCTGCACAGACTCGCAGCCGGCTAGGCTAGGCTCTCTGCTGAAGCCGCACAGACTCGCAGACCCCAGGCAACTCGGTGGGACCGGGGAACGCGGTGGAGAGTTAACGCTACCGCCTCCCTCCCTGCCGTGCACGGCCTGGAAACTCTGCAGCCGGCTAGGCTAGGCTCTCCGCTGGAGCCGCACAGACTCCTGGCCCCCAAGGAACTGGGCGGGACCAGGGAATTCGGAGGGACCGGGGAACTAGGCGGAAAATTAATTCTACTGCCTCCCCTCCTGCCGTGCAAGGCCCTGTAGCCGCTGAAGCCGCATAGACTCCTGGCCCCCAGGCAACTCAGTGGGACCGGGGAACGCGGCGGAAAATTAAGTCTACCGCCTCTCTCCCCGCCGCGCACGGCCTGGAAACCCTGTAGCCGGCTAGGCTAGGCTCTCCACTGGAGCCGCACAGACTCGCAGCCGGCTAGGCTAGGCTCTCTGCTGGAGCCGCACAGACTCGCAGCCGGCTAGGCTAGGCTCTCTGCTGAAGCCGCACAGACTCGCAGACCCCAGGCAACTCGGTGGGACCGGGGAACGCGGTGGAGAGTTAACGCTACCGCCTCCCTCCCTGCCGTGCACGGCCTTGGAAACTCTGCAGCCGGCTAGGCTAGGCTCTCCGCTGGAGCCGCACAGACTCCTGGCCCCCAAGGAACTGGGCGGGACCAGGGAACTCGGAGGGACCTGGGAACTAGGCGGAAAATTAATTCTACTGCCTCCCCTCCTGCCGTGCAAGGCCCTGTAGCCGCTGAAGCCGCATAGACTCCTGGCCCCCAGGCAACTCGGTGGGACCTGCAAACGTTGCATGGCCCTGGAAACTCTGCAGCCGCTGAAGCCCCACGGACTCACGGCCCCCAGGGAACTGGGCGGGACCAGGGAACTTGGCTGGAAATTATTCCCACCATCTCCCTTGCCACCCTGCATGGGCCCTCCTAACGCTATAGCCTGCTAAACTCTCCGCTGGAGCCACACAGACTCCCGGAGAACAGGGGACTTGGCGGGATTAAAGTGGGTCCTCTCTGGTGCATCCAAATCCAGGAGAGGGAGCCACAAACAGCAAAACACAAACACCCACTGGGAAAACTTGGCAGACTCCAAAGCCCACTGTGATAACCAAAATGGTGAGAAACAGAAACAAAAGCCAAATGAAAGATCAAGAGACCTCTACAGAAGATGAAATAAATGAGGTGCAGTTAAGCAAGTTAACAGAACTAGAATTTAGAGCCATGATGTTGCGGAAGCTCAACAGCATGTGTAAGGACATGAGCAACATGAGTAAAGACATAGAAATGTTGAAAATAAACCATCTGGAAATGAAAAACCAACAGGAAGAAATGAAGAATGACATATCAGAAATGAAAAACACACTGGAAGGTCTAAAAAGCAGAGTAGGGGAAGCTGAGGACCGGATCAGTGAATTAGAAGACAGGCTAGAAGAAATCAACCAATCAGAAAACCAAAAGGAAAAAAAGATTAAGAAACAAGAAGAGAGCTTAAGAGAATTGTGGGACAACTGGAAACGTAATAATATTCGTATC